AGTCAATCAGTTCACCCGCACGGTTGATGCAGGAACCAGCAAGTGTCCCGGCCTCGCACACCTCTGCGAATAAATCGAGTGAGTTCAAGAAGCCATAAAGGGTACCAACGAGGAATCATAATGCAAAGATTTTGACTTACCCACAATCATTCTACGTAAGTATGATCCATTTTCGCTAACAGCGCTGACATCAGGATCTCCACGCATCCTTTTCAGTCTTGCCAGCTTGTGTCTCGTCTCATACATGTGATCGCCTTCCATGATAATTAGGAATCCTCCTGGCTTGAGACACCTTTGGAACTCCACAATCGTCTTATCCATGTCGTTAATTCCACCCGAGACACAGCGGGCATGAACGAGATCGAATTGGTCATAGAAATGGGCCAAACCAAGGTTAATATCATCGATTTCGAACCTCAGATTGGGCGGAAAGGCCCCTGTGTCTACTGGAGGAGGCGCGAGGTCGACTCCAAGGACAGATGCGTGGGGGAAGCGACGTGCCATTTCAGAAGCCCTAAATTAGCGCGTATATTCTCTTGTTAGAACTGTGAGGTAAAGGTATGAGGATATCATGTACCATGAGCCCGTTCCACACCCTGTAGGGCCTTAGTAATCTGACATGAGTAACCCGGTTAGACCTACCAAGATCGAGTATCCGCTTGGGTTGGCCGTCGGCAGGGTTCAGGATGGCCTCGGTAACTTCCGGGCATAGATACAAACCGCCCATGGCAAGAACTAGCGCTACACTTTGTTTTTCCCTATGATACATGCCGCTTAAGTGCAACCGAACGCGAAGGAGGCGTGTTTTTGGCTCACAATCTTACCCATTCTGGCTCATCTGCGGGGTGGGCAAAGGGTCAGACACCATTCACAACATGAGCCGACAAATGGAACATACCAGATGGCAGAAAATAACTGTCATTAAGGCTGTTGAAGATCCTGTTCGTTGATTGAGTCAACAGGTCGACTGACCAAAGTAAGAAAAAAGAAAGCGCGCTTGCTCACCTGCCATTTATCTCCCTGATGAACTGCGAGACGTCTCTGGCCGAATTATAAGAGACTATACTGACGTTATCTGCTGCCTGGTTGTTGTCTCCTCCATGTAGTTGACTCATTTCGTCGGTTGCAATGCTTCCCGCGTAGGTAGTTGTCGGTGCGTGGGTGAATCTTCCACCACTACTGCCCTGGTCAGATGAGAAATCGAAAGCAGCTTGCTCAAATCGGGTCCTTCTAAGCCTCTCTGAGCCACTGATGGATGGATCTCTCAGAGGGGCCGGAGGAGGTATGATCTCGACTGTACGACCGTTTACTTGGGGCTGTGTTTCATTCCAGGCAGAATTATTAGGCCAAACGTTCTTAGATCCTCCGGCGTTTGACATGAATGTTGCTGTGCTTCTAGCCTTGCTTCGTCGGCAGGTGTGAAGAGTCGCCACAGTATAAACCTTTACCAAGAGGCCCGTTGAATCGAGACCCTAGAGGAAAGGGGGAGGAGAGGTTCAGAGGAAGGAGGACGGGCTAATCTTTACGCTTGATTTATAAGGTTCCCTTGTACTCGGCCTACCTGAGCCGAGTTATGCCTGGATGCAACAGGCCAATTAAAGGAACACCGCCGTATTCCTGACATAATCGATACAATCCGGTCGCCATTGCTCGGTTTGAGTTGGGTGCCTGGGACAGATAACCAGGCGGCACTATTGTACCGATTAAGCTTATACGGTGGAATCCTCGATGAATCCCCTTTTCCTTTGACACTTTTGAGGATTTAACGCGCCGAGCCAACGCAACCCTGACAAGAAATGCGGCGTGACTTCATCTCGGCAACCAGAATAGATTAAGAAATAAATAATCTTCTCACAGATTTCGACCGATAGATGACCTAGGCCTCTTCCTCGGTCTCCAGAACCCCACGGAAACGCCACGGACCAAACGCCGAACCAGGGTCAGTATTACCCTGAATCAGAGTCACACGATAGTGAGGGTTAAGTTAAACAGAGCATGTCTATTGCACCGATGAGGGCGAAGCTTGGGCGAGTCGGTAAAAGTTGTGTTCTACTTTTTCGAACTCCGACAAGGATCTAAATACCATGCAAAAGTTTGGTCCTTCTTGAGTCTCTCTACGTGTTGACA